CTTGTTCTAGCCAGACAAGTAGGCCATTTCCTAGGAAAAGAGTTCACACAATTCTGATCTGTCAGGCCACTTTGCAGAGACTAGAACTCAGGACTACTTGGTTATGCATAACTCTGGCCCTCATATCAGGAAGCAAAGATGGACATGGGGATCACTGAGTCTCTTTGTCTCTCTTCCCAACATGGCCACATTGAATACATCTCTCTTTTTCTCTTGCTTTTCTCTGTTGTATTGTCCTACTGAGGTCAGGTAGCTGAGCACACCTTGGTAGGGCTGCCAGGACACAAGCTCTGACCCAACAACTTGGTAACATTATGATTCTTTGATTTCATGCTAATACCTGGACAGCAATATGTGCTTACTACGTATTTTCAAACCAGCAGAGTTGTGATTCTAAGTTTACTCTGTTATTTTAGATGTTCTAGGTTTAAGATGGCAATCCGATCATCTGCTCCCTGGCCTAAAATCTCCCCAAGCTTTCACCGGAGTCTTGGAATAAGCCATTCTTCTTGTGGCTCAGAAGGTCCCAACATGTCTAGCTCTGCTGTGTTCTTCTGGCTTTCCTTTGGGATGTTTGTTGGACAGTACCTAGTGACACTTTCTTTTCTGCTGATCATTTCTGGTCTTACAGTCTTTGCATCTGCTCTCTCCTCTTCCTGGGATGCTTTTCCTATGACTGACTTTTCCTTCCTCGTTCTTTGGGTATTAGTGTAAACATTCTATACTTCAAGGGTCGTCATTGTCATTGGGGACCTGAGTCATCTGTACTTGCATGGCTCTACTATGGCAGCTTGTTTGTTCCTTCAGGGGCACAGATTATAATCTGGTTATTGTCTTACACCATTCTCGTGTTCATTACTGATGCCCTTTATTAGATGTTTTCAGAGTCCCAAAGGTGGGTACATGCACTTCCAGCCCTAGCTGGACAGATGGGAAGATTCCATGGAGGAAAGACAGTCCCTTACCCTATCACGCTCTCCTTTTCACATTTCAGTTGAGTGAAGCAGAAAAGATTCTCCACTTCCAGGGAAGCCATTCCGAGGCTCTGGACACAGAAGACATTTGGTAAAATGAGATGGAAAGTGCTACTGTGGAGAAAAGGATGCATGGGGCCAACACTGGGAAGAAGCAAGCTGCCTTGTAGAGGGCTAATTGTGTGGGTGACTCAGCAGCACACCCTCTCTTTGCATGAGCTGGTCATGAGAGCCTGTCTCTTCTATATTGTGCTGGCCTAAAATCTCCCCAAGAACACATACCACAGAGGGAAAACGGTATCAAAGTCAGTGCACTTGCTCTTCTGTTTTTAAATACAGGCACAGCAGACTGGGCGCTCTTGAAAAGAGACTAGTGCGGTGGCAGAGTTTCTCAGCCAAGACACTTGACCTTCCCAGTCTCTTGGAAATGGCAGGGAAGAATCTGATTGTGATTTCTGATCCACAGCAACAATGGAATTCACACCTTGTGGCTTGTCGTGGCTAATGAACTTGCCAAGTGGTATTGTGGGTTTTATGCAGAGGAGTGTGGTTTCAGGTAAGTGAGAGAAACACTGGGCTGTTATTCAAATGTTCTTCTGCAGAAACATGATTTAAATACTCCGGTATTTAACCTTCTCAAATTGTGCACGCTATTTTAGAGCAGAAAGTTACACTGTGCAAAATTCCCAAGAAAGAGTGATTTTGGACAATATCATTCCATTCAGGGAAATGTCATGTTTCTTTTTTTCCAAGTTAGAGTGGTTTGCAAGCCAGCTTCCCAGCTTGCCATCTCTATACCTCCACATTCATCCCTGTCAGCAGGATCACCAGCATCCTGTCTAGGTGCCATCTGTGTTATTATACACTCAATGCATTTTCTTTAAGTTAATTCAGCCTTGAAATATTAACATATTTCTCTAAAAGGGGAAACTCATTTCCCTGTTGGCAAAAAGACGCCAGCAGCAGTAGCCATGCTGAAGAGTAATTTCGGTGAGTCTGAGCAGAGTAAATGCCAGCTGCTCCTGTCTGCTGTAGGAGGCTCCTAGCCTCAGGCCTGAGGAGGTGCCAAAGGCCTGTTAGCACCAAATTAAAATGACCTCCTTGTTCTGCTCAGTGGAGAGGGCATGTGAAGAAGCGGAAATGGAGCAACTGCTTTCTCTTTGATTTGATGTCCTTCAGTGCCACGCTTTGGTAATACCTGAGATATCTTGTTATTCCTGGAGATAAGAACAACACCTGAAAAATGTCACCCACAGCAATGATGGCCTACTCTGTCCCAGAGAAGATGAACCTGGAACCACAGACTCTCCTTCCTCTGTATGTGTCCCGAGAAGACTCTGCTCACACAAGGATCCAGTTTCTTCTGCTTCTGCACTCCATGTTTTCCTGACAGAAGCAGAAACAATGTGTTGCAAATGGATACCGTGACTGCTAGTGAGCATATCTCACAGCAGCATCTGAGCATGTACTGTTGGTTCACTACCTTAAAAACCCAGGAGAGGAGGAAAACAGAACTGAGTGGATATGTGGCATGCTCAAGAATAATCTGCATGCTGCAAACATGTGGATAAACTGAAGAGTGAGTAGAGGTCACAACTCAGCTCTGAGTATAAAAGATGGCCCCACAACACCCATAACTCTAAGATTATAAAATGCTTTCATTTGTTATGAAATACATTTAGCTCATGGACACAGAACACTTAGATTATGCAACTGATCCAATCTGACCTTGCTGAGATGTTGAAAGGTGTCCTGGTTACAAGGGAGGAAATACAATTGATAAAAAGAAGTAGGAGAGAGCACAAATTCCTGATTACCATGGCTGAGCAATACAGACTAGGGTTTCCAGTAACTGTTCAAAGGTACCAGTTCAACTATATTTAGAGCATGATTGAATTTTAAAAACTGGATGAATTCGCCACTAGGCTTTTCAAAACTCTAAAATGTCTGTGTACAATGAGTTCCCCAGTTTCCCTGATATACTTGGCTAAGCTCTTACAGTCAGTCCCTGCCTCTGCTCTTCTTGAGTATACTGTACGGAGACCACATTGTTGGGTAAGCTGAGTTATGTAACATCTTCCTGAATTTGTAACTATACTTGAAAAAAAAAAGACAAAAGAGAAATTCCCTGTAGACATGTGATAACCAAGATGCACTGTACAGCTACTGGCTGATATTTTGCTAGCTGCAAAGGTAGAATCTATGAGCAACAAAATGAGCTTGAATGGAATACTGGTCTGGAAACATGTAAATGAGACACAGCCAACAGCTGGTTGGAAGAAAACAAGACTCAAAAGCTCCAGCAGGAACAGGGCTACCCTAGGCAGGGTTACTAGGTAATGAAAGATAGCTTTTAGGATAACCAAACTCATATGCCAGAAATAACACAGATCAGCAGTGGGGAAAATTGTAAGGAGAGGAAATAAAAGCCTCAAAGGAGAGAAATGATGGAGAAGTAAGTCCCAATGAAAGAGGACGAATGTAGAGCTGCGCAAACAAGGCATTTATCTTTCCAAGTGAAAGCAGGCAGAAGCAGAGGAAATCTGTCCCCCTGAACTATGATGAAGGAGAAGGTAAAGGAGATCTCTGGGGACAGAACTGTGCATTTGGGAAAGGATGAGTGCAGGACGAAAGGACGCTGCATCATAGGAATAAAGAAAGGGACAGGAAGTTGACAGATTTCAGAATCTGGGTGTATGTCTTCAGCACTGCAGATGGGCTAACTCACAGCACACTCCTTCCCTTCTCATGGCAGACATTACAAGTTGATCATGACATACTTTCTTCCTCCTGGATACAGATTTATCTCGAGATCCTCAACATAGCACACTTGGTAACTCCTAGCAATTTGATGGACTTGAGCTCAATTATGAAGCCTGTATTCTGTATGTATTAAACTGTTGGGCTCCACAAGGCCTGGGCGTGAGGCTCAGAATAACTTCCTGAGCCTAGCTCGAGTTTGGCTACCTGTCCTGGGACATGACTTATGCGTACAAGTGACTCAGCACTAGTTGACCTAGAATCAGCCTCTGCCTAGTAACTGCAGAGATGGCATCCTCTCATTGGCCCGCTAGCCTCATCCCATATCCCCCCCTTCACCCCAACCTATACAGGTTCACTCCTGTTAGAAAAAGTGAGTCCCCACCCAGTGTGTTTCTCTCCGGTAGACAGGAGGAAGGCCGTTTTCACCCATCATCCCACTCAGCCCCAGGGAGAGACTGGCTGGACCAGTCCTGCCTCCGCCCTACCAGTTGGTCAGACCAACATTAAACAAATTAGCAAAACCTCCGTGAGGGTTCTGTAATATTCTCTGGTGAATAGGAACTCAAAAGAGCATTCTTTGCTACAAAAGCACAACATTTTGATGTGAGGAGTTTATGTGCATGGATGCCATAACCTCCACAGGTGGGAACAGATATGCTATTTCAGGTGTATCTAACACTAACATAAACATTTTATACTCATTTCTATCATGAAACTCTGTTTTAAATATTCACAAGGGCATACAAATCTATCCATAATTTACCTTGGAGACTGACGCTGTTTCACCGAGTTAAGTGATGTGAGTTAGCTTAGAGTTAAAATATCCGCTATGAAACAACAGATGGGAAAGCAGAGCTTTCCTCTCTTCCTCTCTTGCAGCACCCTCATACTGAGTCCCTCCTTTAAAAAGTTTGGCAGACACATTACAAAGTCCCTAGCTACTCCCCTGCTCCCAACCCCACCATGTAGCACACATTGAAAAGGCTAAACAGCAAAGCACAGCAGCATTGATGAAGATCTGGCCACTTGAGGAGACATACATCGGCTTTCAGCACCGTCAGCAAAAAGAAACCACAGCCATCATCAGGTAGAACAAGGATCAATAGCACTCAACAAGTCACAATGGCCTCCATTTCCTCCTGAACGTTCGTGAGTCCCCCCTCCCCCAACACACTTCTGGGCATCCGGGCATCCGAGGCATTGCCTATTCATATAAAGAACCACGTGAAGGCAGACAATACCCTCAGCCCTTCTCCAGCCTGAGAAACACTTGGTGCTTCCTTTGAACTATTCTGTTTGAACATGCTGGTGAGTTACTCATGTTCTGCCAAAGAACTCCCTAATGCTGTGGGGAGGAGTCACGGGGAGGGGGTGTACCTTCTGATGACTCTTGTGGATTAATGCCAGCCGTGAAGATGAAGGTGCTCGTTTATCTACGCAGGTATTACGGAGATTGGAAAGGGAAGGATGGAAGCAGTGGTGGTGAGGGCAGGGAGCAGTGATCTCTTGGGAAGTCTCTTCACCCAAACAGACAGATCTTCACTGCTGCCAGCCATTGCCCCAGCATCCTAACCGTCAACGGCCTCACCTCAGCCCTTCTGCTGCAGCTGGAAGGAAGGTGTGTCTTTCCCGTCGCCACCCATTCTCCCGTCCAGCTCCGGAGACTCCTCGTTCCACCACCTCCAGCCCCAGTGGAGTCTTCTGTGCTTCTCTTTGCCACAGAGCCATTGCTAACCAAGCGCCATTCATGAGCTCTTCATCCCGTGGGCGCTTTATAACACTACAGCAGATGTCTCAGGTACCCCAAAAGAGACCTGTTCAGAAGCTGGTTCAAGTCCCCCAGGTATCACCACTCAGGCCACCTTTTCCTCCAGTTATAACTGTATTTGCCCCTAAGTACCCATGGGGTATTGGTTCTGACCTTCTCCACCCACTGATGCCCAAGTCTTCATAACAAATCACAGAGCACTTACGAATAACCTATGTACATCCTTTCATGGGCACCAGATCACTTCTAGGTCATAGGTGCCTAGTAGGAAGTACCGTGGAAACAGTCGCACTGTTTAGAGAGGGGCGGCAACTCTATACACAATCTGTGCCCAGACAGGATTTTTTAGTTTTGTTTTTGAGACAGGCTTTCTCTGTGTGGTCCTGGTTATCCTGGAACTTGGATTAAAGGCATGTGGCACCATGCCTGGCCAATCAATATTCTTTTTTTTTTTTTTTTGTCAAAAATTTCAATCCACAGTTGGTTGAATCTAAAGACATAGAAACCGCACACAAGGCAGGCAGACTGTATTTATAAACACACAGTTGTGATGTCCCCACTAAAATGTGGGCACTGTTAGGCTCACAGTGACCATTTTGGCTTCTGCTGTGCAACAATACCCTGCACACACCCGGTGTTGGGTGGCTCAAGGCTTCAGAAATGGGGCTGTTGCCCGACTCCCTTTTTTAACTTTGAAGGAACCGGGACCCTTGTCATAGTTGTCAAACAGAAATGGCATCAAGGCAGTGGCTGTCTCTCAGTTGGAAGATCCAGGACATCATAAACCAGGCATGATGGCATATTCCTGCAACCCCAGCTCTTGGGAAGAGAAAGGAGGAGGGTCATAAGCCCAAGGTCATCCTTGGCTACATAATCGGTTTGAGGCCAGCCTGAACTACATGAGATTGTTTTAAAAAAATGGAGTCAAGTCCCTTGTTTGCTAAAGAAGGTGTGGACCTTCTGGCCTCCTCTGGGAAAACAGTTCTTTCCTTTGTTATCGGCACAAACAAAACCAACGGCGACCACCTTGGTGAGATAAACTACGGAGAAAGTACTCACGTTGGCTTAGAAGCCTCGGCTTGGTCGGTCTGCAGTTTTTCTCCACCCTCTACCTCCATTGTACAGTAGACAATGCGATTTGGAGCCAAGGATTTAAGGCCCTGAACTTCCATGATCACCACCTGAAAACAGAATCATATAAGAAGATGGATTTAACGCCAATGCCAGAGGCAGCATCACCCCCAGGAAGAGAAACAGACAAGAAGCTACAGTGAAATCCACCAGGGAGGCCATGGCTTCTGCCTGGCTTTCTTCACCAGTTGCTCAGGGGCCTTCTAGGGAGAGGATGTAACTGCTTACAGTGTAGCCTATTGCCTTCCAGATGGAACAATGAGGCTCACTCAATCACTCCCCTGTAGTGTGAACTGAGTGAGGGGCCTTGTACACGCTAAGTAAGCGTTACACCCGAGATTGACCCCCATTCCTCTCTCCCTCCCCTCCTCCCTCTTTTCTTCTGCTCCTTTTCCTTTTTATCTGTCTGTCTCTATACTTATCTCTGTGTCTGTGTCTCTCTTCTTACCCCCCCCCTTTTTCTTTCTTTCTTCTCTTTCTTCACAGGGTCTCACTTAAGTGCCCAGGCTGATCTTTTACTTGCTGTGTAGCCCAGGCCTTGAACTTGGACTTCTGCTCCTCTGCTGCAGCCGCTATTACAGGTCTGGCTCAGTGACTTGCTAACTGAGACTCTCTCACGGTCAGACAGGTAAGGTAAACCGGGCTACTCTTTTCATGTTAAGCAAACAGGATGAAAGGGCTTCATTCTGCTTTCTTTAAAAATATTCCAGCTTTTTAGGTCAGCACTTGGGAGAAACACAGCGTGTGCATCAGCTTTTCTCTTGATAAAGCTAAGCGACAGCAAAGACCTAAGAGTCAGCCGGTGTCACCCAGCTTTAGGACCACAGCTGGGCAGGAAGCAGTGGAGACTACAGCAACCTGGAGCACACAGGCCCGATCCACAGGGGAAGCTGCCACTTGTCTGTTCCCAGCTCAACGACCAGATACTCTGCTTTGTCCTGCTAGAAAAGAGCGCTCTCAGTCAGAATTATGATCAGAAATTTGATTTTGAAATGCTGACAATCTGAATAGGGAGAAATAAAATGTGCCAACTCCATGTATACTACTTTCATAGCTATTTATGATCTTTGCATGCCAAGGTTGTTGAACCCCAAACCCCAATATATGCGAAGCTTTACAGTCTCTGGTCTAGCCTCAGCTCACTTACAACTTGCGGGATTTCTTATCCCCACTCCATTCAGTCATCCATTATTCTGACAGTCATGTGATGGTGTACTCTGCCACAGGAGCAAGGAAGAGAGGGAAGGGACACCTGTCAACACCCAGAGCGAAAGGACCTCCTTAGTGACTGACACACAGTGAGAAGCATCTGGGGAAAGTCACTCTTTCTACAAAAGGCCGTTACAAAGGACAGAGAAGTGGGTATAGGAAAAAGACACATGCTTCTGAGGGGCTTTGGTTCAAGAAAGCACACTTGGGATGTATAAGTCTTAATTTTGCAGTGTGATAACCCACAGATGCTCAAGCAGAATGAACCGAATCACTGGTTGAGCTTGTGAAGCCGAGGTCACAGTTTCCTCCCCTGAGCATCTGCTCAGTGGGTTGGCTCTAACCAAGGCCTCCTCCCCTCTGATGGTTTCTCTGGTGGTGCTGCTCCTGGGGCAGGGGCCACAGTTCACTCAAGAACCCTGTGCAGCCTCTGGGATGTGGGAAAATGATCTCACATTTAACTCCCTTCTGTTTTGTCTTTTCAAACCTGCAGAGGCTTAGCTTTCTTTTTCTTTTCTGTCTTTTCTTTATTTTTCTGGAGAGTGTGTGATATGCATATGCAGATGTGCATGTGGAAGCCTGGCCTTCCACCTTGTTTGCGACAGGCCCTTTGTTCGCTGTAGTGTACTCCAGGTTAGCCTGCCCGCCCGCTAGCTCTGAGGAGTCTCCTGTCTGCTGTAGGAGTGATGGGCACAGGTGCTCACTACAGCCTTGGGACTTAGGTGGGTTCTACAGATCCAGACTCTGCTCCTCCTGCTCATGTGGCAAGCACTTTTCCCACTGAGCCATCCCCTTGGCTCCACTCAGTGATTTTACCTGTGAAGTAGGGATACGATGCGTGTATCTGTTATGGCAAGTTTATATACCGGGGAGGAACACATTGTGGAAAGAGAACAGTTTAGAGTCTGAAAGATCTCACTTTAAGTCGGATTCGGGGCCTATATTAGCTGTGCCATTTGCAAGTGTCAGGCTTTGTTTGCACATCTGCAAACACCTCAAAGGCCTTTGTGAAAAAGGATTTGCAGCAGCCTTCGCAAATACCTGTTGCTTTGCGGCAGCACTCACTGCCCACATTCAGGACATGCATGCTGGGCCTCTTCTCACTCAAAACTGAGCTTGCTCTCCTTGTCTCTTCCAACCATTCAGCTCTCTAATTACTTGAAATACGTCTTGCACCAGTCTGCAAACTCGAATTGTAGCCTGCCCTGCTGCTGTGACGTCCTGTCTCCACCTGTTCTTGTTACCCCCACTCACTGTGATCCCCAAACGCATCCACGAATAGATGTGCAAAGGTTCTGGCTGGCGGTTCTACTATGGTTTGCCATTTAGTTTTCCAATTAAAAAGTATGTGGGGACCCAAGGGCATTGCAATCTGTGCTTGTATTTATAAGCCAAAGCATTTGAATCCTGTGTGCAGAGAGTATGGCTGAGGTCGTGCCGACACCTATAGTTCAGATAATCAACTATTCAATATTGAGAGCCAATAATGAATTAGAAAATTACATACTTAAAAGCTTCATGAAAGTCAATAAAATACTTTTTTTCTTCCATCTGTTGGAAGGCAAGAGGGAGTAGGGAATAAATTGCCACCTTTAATTGGCAATAATCAAATTCAAAGACACCTAAGCAACAGCAGTCAGTACCTCAGGTGGCAGTACTTAAAAAAATTAAAAAGGAAACTTTCTGTGAGATTACACTGATGACTTTTCTCACACGCAGAGTTCTATATTTAATTAAGATCCACCTCTGCTGACAGCATGTGGAACACTGCAATGTGAAGAAGGACTCTCTCGCTGAGCTGAGCAGAAAAAACAACTTACCCACAGTTAGCACACAGCATCCTCGATGGCAGTTTATAAGATTAAGTTAGTCTTTCCATACTCTAATTAAATGTACAGAAAGTTGATCTGTTCTCTTGATTCCCTAAATCTAGGCTCACCAGGCAATTCTTTTTTGTTTGTTTGTTTGTTTGTTTTGAGACAGGGTTTCTCTGTGTAGCTTTGCGCCTTTCCTAAAACTCACTCTGTAGACCAAGGCTGGCCTCGAACTCAGAGATCCACCTGGCTCTGCCTCCTGAGTGCTGGGATTAAAGGTGTGCGCCACCACTGCCCAGTCACCAGGGAATTCTTATGGAGTTTACTATGTCCGTCCCCCCTCCCTCCATCCCTCCTTCCTCCCTCCACTCCTCCCCCCTCTTTCCCTCCTTTTCTCCTTCCCTTCTTCTTCCTCTTTGTCTCTGTCTCTTTTTTTCTGTCTCTGTCTCTTTCTCTGTCTGTGTCTCTCTTTCTCTCATACAAGAAAAGATTTTGGACATTTTATCATGGAGCAATAATAAATATTTGAGGGAACAAAGTGGCTTACCTTGACTTGAACTTTATAAAAAGTTATCAAAATACCACATGTGTATAGTTTTATGTCAGTTATAGATATGCATATATATGTATGTATGTATGTATATATGTATGTGTGTGTGTGTGTATGTATGTGTGTGTACAGATTTTTGAGTGCCATTGACCTTTGATAAGTTATATGTGGTTCTCAAACTTTGGAGTACATAGAAAAAAATACCTAAATCCAAGTCTAGTATGACAGGCCCATAATCCCAGGTACTCAGGAGGCTGAGGCACTAGGGCTGCAAGTTCAAAGCCAGTCAGGGATACACAGTGGATTCAATGCCAGCCTGGACAACATAGGGAGACCTTCAGAATAAAAGATAACAGGTCACATGTTGCATCTGACCTCTTGTACTAAGTATAATAATACTGATGAGGTTCATCCATGTATCAATGTGTGTTTCAAGAAGTGTCCTTTTTACTTGCCATATAGTATTCTGCTGTACAGATGTGTTATATTTTCTTCCTATCATTTCCTATCATTCACTCATTGGATGGGATTAAGAGTGTTAGTATTTTTGGCCATAATAGCCAAAAATACTGACTATGCTTCTAAACATATTTGTGGGGACATGTATTTTCAGTTCTATTGGGTGGATATCCAAGCATAGAATTACTATATAACATTGTGGTTGTATATTGAACTTTTTGAGAAAATGCTAACTTAGTTTCTAAAGTGGCTGTGTTGTTTTATATTCCTATCACTTATAGACTCTGGTTAAGTGGGACTTTAATAGTACTCAGCAGTCTGAGTACTGACCAGCTTCCAGTGAATTTTGATGCTGGTGGATCAGAACCACTCAGTAGGAAAATATGAAGAGCCAATGTGTGAAGAGACATTATAGAGGAATGCATTGATATGCAGAGTATATGAGCATTAGCCTGGAAAGATTCTTACACTAGAGGCTGAAATAAACTAAAACAAAACGAAACACACAATCTCAAGGCTGTATACTACCATACAGCCACCAGGAAAGATAATGGGAAAAAGAAATCTGTAACTCATTCCAATGATGCTAGGTCATTTCTCTTAATGTAGGCTTCTAAAAATCTTCCCAGAATCCTTGAGTACTGCTTTCAGACAGGGGAAAACTACAAAATTACATTTGACAGGTGGTCCTATAGATTGAACTTCCTTAGGAGCAATGTGGTTCCTGGCAAGGGGCATGGTATACTTTCTGTGTATACACCAGTACACTTTCAGAGATTTGAGGCTTTTTACCTCCAAGGAGAAGGACAGCAGGACATCTGACTTGGACAGCTGGTTCTCACTCTCCTCGCCCATGTCAATGATGGAAGCATTGTGGCTGCGTTTGAGTTTCTGCAGCTTGAACTCTCCACCCTTGGACACCGGCATGCTCTCCAAGTTGGCCATGAGCAGGTTCACAGAGGACTTCAGCTCCTCAATGTACATGTTCTCCATTTCTTTGGATACAAATTTAGGAAATTTGCGTTCCTTGCAAAAGAAAGGGAAAAGTATAATCAGACCCAATTTACATAGAAAGTTTACACATCAGAGTCCCACTTATGATCACATCAACCATTAGTGAATTTGCCCTGATGTTATGGAAGTATGTTAGGAAAACATTCCATCTGGATGTGGAAAGGCCTGCCTCTACCTATTTATAACCTCCAATAGGTAGGAACACATAAACATTTAGTAAGAAAGAGGAAAATGTTTGATTATAGCTCTAAATTTTTTTTACCCTGGTTTTCTCCAGAAAATTTGATTTATGGAAAGAAAAATGGATGATTTCTTTTTCAAATCCAGTCCCAGTTCCAACACTTTTTTCTTCTTTGTTAAAATGCAGTCAGGTTGTTTGTAAGTTTAGAAACAGAAGCACATCCTATTTCTGGAAGTTGGTAGAGATTTTCTCACAGGAATAATTAAAAAAATAGCTCATTTGAAATGTTTCAATCATAGCCTTTGGCTATTTCTAAGAATACTTACTATTTCCTAGAAAAATTGGAAAAAACAATGAAGTAAAGAAAAACATGGTTTCAATTCCTCAGGAAAGTAGCAGGCCAGTTGAACATCGGAGCTGACCACTGCCATTCTTCCTCATGGCTCTGGGCTTCATCAGGGAAGGCAAGAGACCTGACCATGCTACTTGCTTGTCTGCTTAGACCTTAAGTTGCCTGAGTGCCTTGAATAGTCTCTGGATTGGTGACCTTATCAAAGAGCCATTTCCAAGCTGCTACATGAAATTGCCCTGTAAACCCTACTCTAGAGTCTACTGATGGGGTGAGAGGCAAGTCAAATCTTTTTGGCTTTTATTTTATTTTATGAGTTATAGACAAATCCAATTTAAACAGGTATAAATAACTCAAGGAACTGATTGGCTTGGAAATGTCCCAGGATAAATTCAGCTTCCAGTGAGGTTGAAACCACAGCTCTGATAATATAATCCCAAACAAGTTTTTTCTTAAAAACCTTGGTTTTAAGAGTCTCTGGTGTGATGGTTATTTTGATTGCTAACATGATGGGATTTAGAATCTCCATGGAAACAAATATCTGGGCACATCT